ACATCGTCGCAAAGCCGTTGAGAGTGCCGAGGATGCGAAGGGAGGAGGCGGAATTAGTGAGGAGAATCGTCATGCAGGGGAAACCGATGATGACTGCGAATGCCTTTGTGAACATCACAACCATGAGCGCGGCGTAGCGGCCGAAGGTCGTCTCGAAAAGGACAGTGAAGGGGGTTAGGATGTAGACGACGGGAAAGGTCAGAGCTGCGCGAGAAATCAGCATTAGCGTTTATGCAAGCGGGAGGAAATTACACATACCGCATGCCCGGAAGCAGCGGAGGACACCAAAATAGTTGCATAGCGGCGGGAAAACGAAGAACTGGATCACACCGCAGGTGATGCCGTAAATTGTGAAGATGGTGCCAATGCGGTCTGAGCCAAGACCGAAGCCGCCAGAGAACTGGAAGGGAAGGTGGGTATTTTCTGGCGTGTGCTCGACAACGGGGTAGTTGAGGAATACCGGAAGAACCTGATCGTAAGCGACGGAGTGGAGAGCGAGGAAAGTGTAGCAGATCAGGTTGATGGTCGTCTGCGCCGTGAACACCTCCTTCATGCTGGGGGCCTCCAGGGGCTGCTTGTTGTCCTCAAGCGGATGCGCGGGTGGGTTGAGCTTGGTAGGCACGAGCGGCGCGGTAGCTTCGCCGTCGACGAAAGAGGCGCGGCGAGCGCGGGTGTTTGCGCGGTGGTAGTGGCGAGTGCGACGGAATGGACGGGTGAGGCGTTCGCCCAAAGTCAGGCCCCAATCGGGCTCATGGCGCTTGCTCTCAAGGGTTTCTTTCAGGAAAAGGGTCGCGTTCGTGACGGAAAGGAGGAAGAAGACGGCAGCGAGGAGGTTCGGCAGGGCAAAGGGGTAAGTCGTGAAGAACCAGCTGTCGCCGAAGATCGAGGGGAATCGGTCGGCGGGCTTGGCGAAGAAGCCACCGAAGGCGGGGCCGAAGATGGAACCGACCGACCAGACCAGAGGCATAATCGAGAAGGCTCGGGGCTGTAGTTCTTTCTCGGGGACCATTTCTGCTACCATTGTGCGGATAATTCCGACTGAGTGCGTGTGTTAGCTGAGTCGTCATTGGTGATCGAAATAGTTGTTTATACTTACCATTACCATTACCACTGCCCAGGATAGCGCGAACGGTAATCGCCATGGGAAGACTGGTTGACATTCCCCAGACAACGAAGAATACCATGGTCGAGAGCAGACCAACAATGATTGTCGGTTTCCTGCCAAAACGATCGGATGCTCTACCCCACGGAACTGCAGTACAGCTCTGAGCCAAGGAGAAGACGGCGGATGTGATGCCAGCCCATCTCGCGACGTCGTTTTGTTCTACTCCGAAACTTTTGATCATTTCTGGGAGGTACGGAAAGACGGAGGTCAAGGCGAGGGGTTCGGCGAAGCGGGCGACGGCTACACAGGACTGTTAGCGATGCAGAAGACGGACTAGGTTGGAGGACACCTCGAATGAAGGTTCCGCGATGCACATGACGTCGGGCGCAAGGTGTAATCTGCAGCAGCGACATGCCAACCGCCTTGGGCTTGGTGTATGAAGTCTCGACCTCGGTCGGTTCACATTGATCAGGCAGCTCGGAAGACCAGGACCACTTTCCACGTCGCATTCGAAAGTAAGATATGGTAGGCTTAGGGGATGTAAATGCGTGGCTAAAGGACAAGCGACTTCGGGCGACAAGACGTGAATTTCCCAACCGACCCATGCGCTCTCGACTCTTGTGTAAACGCTTCCTCGTAATGCTCCAAATGTTTTCTATTATGTGATCCCAGACGCCGCGATGTGCCTGCTTCCTTGGCTGTGTAAAGGCACTTGCCCGGCACTAAGTGGTGTTGCGCGGATTCGCATTTGTAGATCAAATGTAGTTAAAAGCAATCGCAGTAACAAGTTTTGAAAAGCCGGGGCGTCTTACCCAGAATGGCCAGCTGCTTCGCGGGCAACTTGGGCTTTGTTGGCTTGGTCATCTTGAAGATGTGTGACCGCAAATACGGGAGAAGACCAAGTCGCGAAGTTCGCAAGGATCGATGTTACTGCCGCACGCTGAAGTAAGTGATCGACCCGGATGGTAGTCTAGATTTCGGCGCTGGATCCTTGGTGACGTAGTAATTCTCCGTCGTCTGCGCTTGTGCGACGTAGGGAATAGCAATAAAGCAGAATAAGTCGGGGAGAAGTGGCAGATTTAGAATCGAGGGAAAACAACGGCCTTTAAAAACAAGGTCATAAAAAAAGGCAGAATTGGAGAAGGGAGTCACAAGAACACAAGCGGATGGGAAAGGCGGTTCGTCAAGCGCAAAGAGCAGAAAAAAGTCCTAACGGGAAAGATCCACTTCGATGTCTGCAGGCTCGCGGCTGCACTGGGCCGGACAGGGAATAGCGTGGGTAATGTATCCGCACCGGAGCTGGGGAGTCATCCGCCCCTTCCCACCTCCCACCCCAGCTTCCTGCAGAAGTTCGAGCCCCGTGAATGGCAGTGGGAATGTCTGGGCAGCGGGCAGGAAGGGGACTCGACCTTTGCCCCGTCCTCTTGCACCGATCCCGTCCAATAACGCTGACGGAAGTCTCTGTATTCCGTCTGGGCCACTGCCTGGAGGGGGACAAGAGGGTTGCGGTTTGGTTCAAGCAACAAGTACACCGAATTCGTGGAGGGGCGAATATCTGGCCGTACGCCTCCGGGCGGGCCACCATTGGAACCGCCTCGGCTTCGCCTCCCGGAGAACAGCCACTAGCTGGAGCACCGCTCTGGAGGTGGGCATTCCCGCCTGCCGTACCCTTACTTGGCGTTCACTAAGAAGTACCCATCACGGTTGGCGGGCATAGTAGGTCAGCATCAGCATCAGCGCCAGCATCAACGGTCGAGTCGACCTACGGCGGTAGTAAACAGTGACGTGAGCGCGAGACGCGAGGGAGGGAGTCGAAATGCATTGCTGCGCGTTGGCAACAAAGATGGGATGATCGTGGGCATAGATGTGTCTCGGATATGAACTGGACGGGTCAGTGAGAGAGTTTGGCTTCTTCTCTGCAGATTTGTAGGGGACGCTGGTTCGGCTTGCGCGGTGCCCCGTGTTGCTGGCCACAGCAATGCACACTTCTCCATCACGGCTTCCCTGCCTGCAACCGCTGCTGCTGAAGCGAGCGAGCAAGACAGCGTTCCCGGTGCGTACCCGGTCGGCCCAGGCCAGGCCACGGTGCGGTGCGGTGCGGGCAGGCGGTCGGGAGGTGTGCGACGGCTGTTGGAACAGGGGGGCAATGTTTGCTGCTGGAGATGGATGGTCCGGCTGCACTGCAACTCCGCGTAATGCCTGCAAGCTGGCCATTGTGCACGCTTCCAACGGCCGCCACAGAGGGTCCGATTGTCGGCAGAAACTTTGTGGGTGTTGCTCCTGTTGTTGGAGTCGGTGAGGGTGTGAGGGAAAAGGCAGGGGTCCTCGCTGTAGGCGGATTTGTGGTTGCGCCTCAAACGTAAAAGTAGCAGACACTGCTGTTTTTTGGACGAAAAAGAAGTTGCACCCCCCGCAAGTTGCCATGACGTCCAGCCTTCACCATGGTGGGGGGCCTCTTTTCCCGGCGGCGATTGACCGACTTCGCCGAAGCCGGGGCCGAACCTCGGGGTGGCTTGCAGGAGCGTGGGCGCAGAGTTGGCAGCTGGACACAACGACACACTGGGGCGCTCTGGCTCCAGCTGAATAATCATCACGGGCCCATTGGATGTTACGCAGGGAACACCCTATTTGTTCGGCTTGCCAGCGCAGCATTCGGCATGAAATCTAAACATGCGAATCCCTAAGACAAGACATGTGCTGTCGCTGCTTCATTCAAAGACATTGCACACCGCCAAACGGCAACAGAATCACCAAAGACGCAGTCTCGCACCCAGAGACTCCAGCTTCGGAGAGTGGTGGTTGCCAGGCAGCGTACCCGGGAAGAGTTTGATTGAGTGATTGGGCGGAATCCACCCAATCAATTGCGTGATCACCGGGTGTTGGCCGATGTCCAGTCATAGGCGCAGGAGATGGGAGGTTGTGTGTCTCGACTCTCTTGACTCGAGTGGCTGAAGGGGTTAAGGGGAACAGGCGGCAAAGGCGTCGCCGCTAGCCATGGCGAAGAACGGATGATGCAACGCCTGTTCTTATGATGACGATGGATCGAAACTGTGTTTCCTCAGGCGTGTTTATATTCCCGGGCTTGTGCCATGCTAGATCGGACGCAGTAAGACTGTCGATGCGGTGTCACGGGTCGAGTTTTTGAGGGGTCCGATCTAATGAGATAAGCAGATAGGATAGCCCACGCCGACGACTGAACCGCAACGACGCTCCGTATCTCGCAGGATGGTGAGCACGCCTGTTATCTCCAGAGTCCGGTGTTGAAGTCGGCACCGGACCGCCGATGACCCCGCAAAAGCCCCTCAGCTCGCCTATGTCCCCGAAATAGGAAGGAGGCCAAGCCCATTCGTCAGCCAGTGCTGGAAGCAGGCAAGCTGGGCGGGTTCTCACCTTCAGCCAAATCAGCGCCCGTGGGTGGCCAGTGTCAGTGGAGGCGTCACCACCCGGCGGCAGCCGATCGGCAAAACCGTTACCCATTGACGCTTGATAACATCAAGTGAAGCACGCAATGTTCGTACGAGACTTGTAATCTCTCCAACTCTGTTTCAACTACATCTCTGGCGGCAGGAAAAAAGCGCAGAGAGAAGCTTGTCAACTGTGTTCTGGTGACGGCTTCCGGTGCTTTTGCAAGATGGCACAAGAGTAAGTACGCGTTGCTGTCGTCCTCGTGCGACCTTTTGGAGCTCTGTCTGGTGCCTGAGCTAGTGTGGCTGGTGGCCGCGCGATGATGCAACCACCATCGTAAGCCACACGTGCGCATCCGCGTCTCATGTTGCTTTCATTCATCACTTCACGCCCGCCTCGTTCCCTATCAGAGTTTCACGACTTCTGCTTTTGAGAGCTGCGTGATATAGACTCGGCTGACACGAGCCATAGAAAGCGCTATCACGACAAAATGGCTAATGAGCGGACGCCGCTCATCACCAACGTCTACGTTGGTGCGCCCCGACCGCGCTACCAGAATCACGTACTGCGGCGCTTCTGTACCATCGCGCTCTCCTCCATCCTCATCTTCTGGTCCGTCTTCTTTGTCGTTGCGCTATTCGTCGACGATCCACCCCGACACCACCACCACCATCACCACCATGGCTGGTCCCTGACCAACAGCTTCAGCCGTGCGCCCATCACTCACGAGGAGGTTCAGAAGATCCTCTTCGAGGTTCCCTCATCTGAGAAGGCCGAGGAATGGAGCAGGTACTATACTGCTGGACCCCATCTCGCAGGTCAAAACTACTCCCAGGCAAGTAATGTGGGATTATAATTGCAAGCGAACAGCAGCTAACAGCCCGACAGGCTTTGTGGACCAAGGAAAAGTGGGAGTCTTGGGGAATCCAGTCCGAAATTGTTGCCTACGATGTGTACATCAATTACCCCGTAGACCACAGTCTTTCTCTGCTCTCCAAGTCCAAGGACGAGGAAGAGTCCGCTTGGAAGGTCGAGTTCAAGGCCGCGCTTGAGGAGGATGTGCTCGAGGAGGATCCCAGCTCCGGTCTGCCGAACCGCGTGCCGACTTTCCACGGCTACTCCGCCAGCGGCAACGTCACCGGATCCTTCGTCTTCGTCAACTACGGCACGTACCAGGACTATGAAGATCTCGTCAAGGCCAACGTCAGCCTCGAGGGCAAGATCGCCATTGCCAAGTACGGCGGCATTTTCCGTGGTCTCAAGGTCAAGCGTGCGCAGGAGCTCGGCATGATTGGTGCTCTGTTGTATAGCGACCCTGGTGACGACGGCAAGGTTACGGAGGAGAACGGCTACGAAGCCTACCCCGATGGCCCCGCCCGTCACCCGAGCGCCGTCCAGCGCGGAAGCGCCCAGTTCCTCTCCGTCCGGCCCGGTGACCCCTCCACCCCGGGTTACCCCTCTAAGCCCGGCGCCCCTCGCGCCCCTGTGGACGATGCCACTCCTTCTATCCCCTCCATTCCCATCTCCTACGCCGACGCCATCCCAATTCTCAAGGCACTGAATGGCCACGGCCCCTCCATCAAGGACTTCAACAAGTACTGGAACCGTAACCTCGGCCTCGCATACAAGGGCGTCGAGTACAACATCGGCCCTACCCCTGACAACGTCGTCCTGAACCTTTACAACGAGCAAAACTACACCACGACACCTCTATGGAACGTCATTGGTATCGTCAACGGCACCATTCCCAACGAGGTTATCGTCGTCGGTAACCATCGCGACGCCTGGATCGCCGGCGGCGCCGGTGACCCCAACAGCGGCTCCTCCGTCCTCAACGAAGTAATCCGCGGCGTCGGAGTCGCAGTCGCATCCGGCTGGAAGCCAACCCGCACAATCGTTTTCGCCTCCTGGGACGGCGAGGAGTACTCCCTTATCGGCAGTACGGAGTGGGTCGAGGAATACCTCCCCTGGCTCTCCGCCGCCTCGGTGGCCTACGTCAACGTCGATGTCGGCGTCCGCGGCCCTCACTTCAGCACCTCCGCCGCGCCCCTCCTCCACAAGGTCCTCCGTGAGATCACCCACATCGTCCCCTCGCCCAACCAGACCGTCCCGGGCCAGACCGTCGGCGACGTCTGGAACGGCCGCATCAGCACCATGGGCTCCGGCTCCGACTTCACCGCCTTCCAGGACTTCGCCGGCATCCCCTCTATCGACATGGGCTTCGGCGGCGAGAACGATGAGGCCGTGTATCAGTACCACTCCAACTACGACTCCTTCCACTGGATGGAGAAGTTCGGCGACCCGGGCTTCGTCTACCACCGCACCATGGCCCAGATCCTCGGCCTCGTCGTCGCCGAGCTCTCCAACGTGCCCGTAATCCGCTTCAACGCCACCGACTACGCCGACGCCCTCTCCGGCTACGTCGACCAGGTCGAGGCCAAGCTCGCCGCCGCGGAGCCCGTCACGGATGACGAGGTCTTTCGCCAGCGCGCCAGCATCGCCGTCGCTAACGCCGATGCGCAGGGCTCGCAGTCGCAGTTCCGCGCCTCCCTGCAGGTCCTGCGCACCTCCATCGCCGCCTTCCGCGAGAAGGCGTGGAACCTCGACGAGACGGCCGCCTGGGTCGATTGGGAGCTCAAGGAGGACATCCCCTGGTGGAACATCATCCGCAAGATCAAGCTCGGCCTCACCTTCGTGTGGGTAAACAAGAGCTACAAGGGCATCGAGCGCAACTTCTTGTACCCCGGCGGCCTGGATGGGCGCAGCTGGTTCAAGCACGTCGTGTTCGCGCCCGGCCTGTGGACTGGATATGCTGGAGGTGAGTTTCTTATTTGATCGTGATTTTGATGATGAGCTTTGATTGCTGACGAAATGAAGCTGTCTACCCTGGTCTGCAGGAGAGCATCGACGCCAAGGACTACATCAACGCCGTCAAGTGGTCCGGCATCATCAACGAGTGTGTCGCTTCTGCCACCAAGGGCATCTGATTGGTGATGAGGGCAAGGCAATACCGTACGTCATCAACAACGTAAGTACATGGCCGAGGTTTGGATCAATATCGTAGGGAAACGACCTGTACGATACTTTCATAGCGTGGTTGCGAGTTCGATATATACACCAAGTATGCAGGAATATCCAATTTGACAGTTGTGGCTTAATAGTGCCAAACTTTCAATTCAAGACAGCAGACGTACCTAATGTTGCCTCGCAAGAAGGCGTCGACCCCAACCATGGACAAGTGAGAGAAAGGGGAGGATGGTGCATGAAACCAACGAGACAAATTGCGAACACCTCTCCACGGTTACAGGAGCGTTCGCAAAATCCGGTAGACTTGGGGCGTGTTATTTCTGGTGCAAATCCCATGAGCTTCATCAATTTCACCCTCAGCACAAGTATGACCCAATCAACTGAACCTCTCTCATCCAGGCTTTACGTGATCTATGCGTCTATAGCCTTTAATAGTCATACATACATTCCTCCACCTCTTTTTTGTAACATCTTTCTCCCATCTACACAGCCCGAGACGGCAAATCTTAGAACTTGTAAACCTGGTCGGGAGAGTATCCCAGCTCCTTCAGGACACCAACAAGCTCGCCCTGGTCCTTGGGGCTCTTCTTGTTACCAGAGACAGCGTTCATCAGACCGGGAGGGCCGCAGACAAAGACCTTGATGTTCTCGCTCTTGGGCTCGGGGAGGACCTGCTTGAGCAGCTCCTTGGTGATGAAGCCCTTGCCGCCGACCCACTCCTTGGGGGGCTTGTCGAGGACGTAGAAGGCGCGGAAGCGCTGGGGGTACGTGTTCTCGAGCTCGGCGAACTCCTTCTTGAGCAGGATGTCCTCCTCGGTGACGTTGCCGAAGACGAGCGTGACCTTGGTCTTGTCGTCCGGGTTGCTGAAGATGGCGCGCGCGAGCTGGTACATGGGCGTGATGCCGGTGCCGCCGGCGACGAGGGCGATGTGCTCGTGCTTGTTGGGCGTCCAGGGGTACTTGGGCAGCGGGCCCTTGAAGTCGAGGCGCTGGCCGGGCGCCATGTCGTGCATGTGCGTAGACATGGGGCCGTTGGGGTACTTCTTGACGAGGAGGTCGACGTAGCCCTTGGCGTCTATCATGATAGCATCAGTCACAGCTTCTTGCAATACGTTTCCCCGTTTCAATTGTTTTCCAGGACCTGATCGCCACGGGTAAAGGAAGAACACGACTCACCCTCATCAGAAATGGGAGTGTAAGGCCTCAGGGTGGCCTTCTCGTCCTCTGGGCCCTTGTACTTGGTCAGGACGGCGCTCGCGACGTCCAGGCCGGAGACCATGTCGCCCTCGGGCAGCGCGAAGCGGAACTTCTTGGTGTTGTGGTTGACGTTCTCGATGGCCTCGAGCTTGAGCGAGACGAAGCCCTGGTCGCCTCCCGTGAGGGCCTTCTTGGGCGCGACGCCGACGGCGGCCTCGGCCTTCTGGACGGCGGGGGAGCCCGAGAAGAAGTAGTACGCCCCGCCGGCGGCGGCGGCCGCTCCGCCGGCGATCAGCGCCGCGCTGGAGGAGGAGGACTTGGCCGCGGGCTCGGTCGCGTAGCGGCGGGCTTGCTGTGTGGCGGGGAACATCCAATGGTCAGCTCGAAAGTTCCTTTTTGGAGCTTGCTCACGGGGGAGATAAGGTATGGTGTGATGATGCCAAACAATCTAGCATGCCCGCCGCGGGGAAAATCTGTTGGAGCAAGGGTGAAGCGTACCATCTTGAGGGGCTGCGCAGCCCGGAGAGCAGTGCGGGCGAACATTTTGACGGTTCAATTGGCGGTATTCGTGACCGGAGACGTCAATTGAGGATTGTCGTGGATTGAGAAAAGTTGCGGTGGAAGAGAGGTCCGACTCGCGGGCAGGTCAAACAGCTTGGGGGGGTTGGATCCGAGACAGTGGGAAGAGAGCTCTCTACCGGGTAACCCGCAAAAGCTCTGGCCTGCGCCCGCCGGTGGATGACGTATAGGTCACGTGGCGTACATCCGATTTCCCCGATCCCCGCCGATAATGAGCTGGCCCCGGAGGCCGAGCCAGGTGCAGAAACCGGGGTATTTCTAAGCAAGAGCTGACGACGTGCTCACAGGGTTGCGTTACGAGCTCGGTCTACAGGCAGTGTGGCAGCTACGGCGTTGATGGTGTCGTTCGCGTCCAGCTCGGACTGCCCAGACTGCCTGATGGAATCACAGGCGGGCGGCACAGGGTCAAAGAAGTTCATTCCTCTGACGAGGAAAATGAGGGGGTTTCCCGATATATTATATACAAGCAAACAGCTTCAGTTGCCGAGAGCTTAACTAAAACACATCTTCACTTTCATCCGCAGCTCGAGCCGGGTATTCGAGCGCGTTGTTCCTCCATTTGAAGCCACATGCATCCTCCGTACCGTGTCCTCCCATCCTCTGCTTCATCCAAGCTACATGCTGAAAGCGACCGACCAGGGGCTCCTCTCTTTATGTCTCCTGAAATACAACGTTACGCCTCTTGATCATCAAACCGAAATCAGAAAACGCTCCTCCCTGACGTCCCTCATAGTACATGATTCATGACTGATCCTCCAGGGAAAAAGAATCCGTCAAGCCAGAAATCTAGCCGTCGAGTTGTGCTGCCAACGCGTGCCTTTTGGCCATCATGGCCCAGTGTCCGTCTCCATGGCGTCGGGATCTGCGGGTTTCTCGCTGGGGGTCTTTGCCTTTGGTGTGCTTGATCGATCAGCCGTTTTGGTCTCGGTTGTGGTCTCGGTCGTCGCCTCCGTCAAGGGGGAGACCTGAGAGTCGCTCTTCTTCGCGGTTGTGTCCTGGCTGCCTCGACGCATGATACCGACGTCCTGGTGCGAAGCCAGCGTCGGCGTGTTTGCTTGGCTGCCACCTCTCTGGCCATGATAGTGGACCACTTGGGGCGGGGGCTGACCGGACTGAATCCCCAGCTGTTGCGTGGGATAGGGGTCCAGGTCTTTGCTCGAGGTAGAAAACGTGGATACTACAGGTTGATGGTAACCGTTAGAAGACTGGCTTCCTGTCGGGGTATGGCCGTAGGTGAGATGCTCCGCTTGGGTCGGGGTGCCAACGTCGTTTGGTGAAGTCGAGCCCTCACCTAAGTTTCCAGTCAAACTGTTCATACCGCCCTCGATATCTCGCAACAAGCGAACATATTCTTCAGGGACTAGTCCACTCTCTTGTGTCTTGGGATCCTCAGCCACAAGCCAGCCTTGGCCGTGTCGATAGGAGACCCAGATGATTTGCCCCTCCACTAGGGGCAATTCGTTTTCGTTTTCCCTTTCAAAGTCAAAAAGTGCGACGGCTTTGCCATGCATCTCCTCGTCAGGCGACGTGATGGTGAATTGGTAGTCCCGCGAATACCGGGACTGGTCCTCATCTCGGAAGCCGGGGGATGATGCGGAGCTCGATGCATCGGAGTATTCGTGTTCGGCGTACTGCCGCGGGGGTTGGTCACCCAGCTGGTATGCGTGGCTTGAATGTCTCGCATCGTCGGGCGGGTAGGTGACATATTCCCCGCCTGGGCCGTTTGCCTCTCCTCCTTGGTTCAAGTAGTATCGCTCGCTGCCATCACCGCTGGTGCTTACATAGAATCCGCGCTCTCTTTCATATTGTGCCGGGTGCAGAATATCTCCATCGTCGCGAGTCTTTGTTCTCCCAGTCCCCAAAGCCGCGGAGGAAGACTTGTGCTTACGGTGTCGCGAGCTGACAACCGGGCTGGCCAGATCCTCGTCCTCGCTCCAAGGCGGGCCGTCTGCGAATTGCACCGAGGGGAGGTCGTGGTTTCTGCCGAAGCCATCAGGACCCCACGCGCCGGTATCCCAACTCATCTTGGTCTCCCAGGCGGCGGGAGGGTCGGAGAGGCGGCGCGACTCGCTGAGAGGGGTGCTGAGGCCGGAAGCGGGATGCGACGGCTCTGGCGGGGGACCATAATGCATGGGGTGCATGATGGGATAGGCGAAATCGCGCACCAGAGTGTAGGTGAGGCTCGAAGGAAACATTGGAAATATGTGGGATGGGGGTCGCGAACGCGACGGGACAGAGCCCGTCGAGTATTGCGACAGGCGATTCTTTGAAGCGTGCGACATTGGTCTCGGGGCTGTCGAGCGGCGGCTTGGAGGGGAGGTTATTAGCGGCGGCAGTGAGGGGTGATTCGGGTTTGTGGAGGGAGAAGCAGCTGCAGGTGGGGATGTCGCGGGCGAGGAGCTTTGGGACAGGAGCGTGGTCATCCTGAGAATATCGCAGTCGACGGGGAGCCAGCAAAAGGATGGCGGGCACCCGATTCGCGGATCCTACGGCGTCGTGTGCCACCAAGCCAACAAAAAAGGCCAGCAGAACAATCGAGCGCTTGTCGTCGCCGGAATTGCAGGAGGATATGATTGGTAAAATTCGGTGTCGGGCCACAGCAGGCGGCGGATTCGAAGGCTTGCGCGCGGGTGGTTATCGTGAAGTCGTGCGGCACTGCACTGCACTGGAGCTGGCGAGAAGACGAAACCGGACGGGGTGATGAACGGTATGATGCGAAATCGAACAGGGCTGGTGGAAAGAACTTTGGAGCAGCGGTAGCAACGGACTGGCCAGGTTGTTTTTCGCAAAATGAAAGTCGTCGCACGCGACGCTGAGGGTTGAAATCGAGTAAGGAGCGTCAAGAACTTAAGGCAGTCGCAGCGGGCGATTAATTCAGGTCGCGGGGTCGCTCGACGTGCGACAACAGGGTGGGTTGGAAAGAAGAAGGCGTAGAAATTGGGATAGGTGGGATGTTGAGGAGAGCGATGAGAAGAGAAGAAGAGGATTGGAAGAAGAACAGAGGAGTAGCGGAAGGGGAGGAGGAGGTGAGGTTGGGAATAATTCGTTTAGGTTCGGGTTGCCGGTGCTGCCTCACACTCTGCTTCTACAGACTGCGTCTGGCCAATGCCTCTCTCGCTCTGCCTCTGCCTCTCTACCTCTGAGGTGGTGGTAGTGGTGGGCAGCGGCTTGGGTTTGTGTTGGT